AGGATAAAGAAACGAATTTTAAAGTGTTTCTATGGACATATATAAATGCGCATATATGCATATATTTATAGATATATTTCAAAAAAAAGAACCTTGGCTCATTTGAATCAATGCTCGTTAAGCTTTTTTATCCTTGCAAATATTTGCCAACAATTGCATACCATTTAGCCAAGGCACCATTTTTTTTTTTTGATTTACGAAGTCAAAAGCTTTAATTAATTCTTTTTCTTTTTATAAGTACCCTTGCTATCTTCCGTTCTTTTCTTTTCCTTAGCAAATTTATTAAAGAATAAATCTAACACTCCTCTTCTTTCACTTTTTTTTTCTCTCTCCCATATAGTTGATTGAATTATTTCTTCAATTCTTCAATGACTATATATACATACATACTATAAAATATTAAATTGTCATTTTTTCTCTCTCATTTAATTCCATTTTTTCTTTTCTTTTTTTCGATACAAATAAAAGAGAAAAAATAAAAGAAAAAAATGATTTCTTTCATACATTTAACATTGAATGTTATAGTAATCTGAACATTTTCTTCTTTTTTTTTTTAATTAATAATAATTTAAATATTTTCTAAAATTATGAAATTAAGTTATTAAATATTTTTTGAAGTTATAATAATTTTAATTTTTGTTAAATCTATAAAAATTTAGTTAAATATTTCCTTAAAAAGAAAAAAAAACAAATATTCACCGTGATTTAATTGATTTATTTTAATAAATAATAAAAATATATGGGAAAAAATGATTTAAAGAAGTTAAAAAATTTAATTTACATAATACATCTTAATTTATTAGTCGATTCCTTTTAATTATTAATTAACGGGTTAATTAGACGAATTAATTAGTAATTAGGCGAATTAATTGATTAATTAGGCGAATTAATTGATTAGTTAGACGAACTAATTGATTAATTAAGCGAATCAATTGATTAGTCAGGCGAATTAATTGGTTAATTAGGCGAATTAATTGATTAGTTAGGCGAATTAATTGATTAATTAGGCGAATTATTGGTATTTTGGATTGTTGAATATTATCCTATCAATGTATATACTCTTAATTTGTTGAAAATTTCTTTCGTATCATCAATTTTACTTCAGTATTGTAAATTCCTCACATTATATCGATGGTTACAGTTTGAAAAAAAAAAAACAAAGGAATAAATAGTAAGCATATTTCCGGAGATATGGCGGATATTCCGGAAACAATAATTTTAATTTAATCTTTAACTTACTAAATCGTTTAAAACATTTGTATGCCTCAGCAAACTCAGAAATAAAGTGGGAAAATTAAATTTGGAATTAAATTCAAGTAAATATCAAAATGAGAATTTACACTGCCAAAGAAAAAAATTGGTCGTTAGACGAATAATTTTTAAAAATTTTTAATTAAAAATTATCACGAATATCTTAAATAGTTTCTTATTTAACTTTTCTTCAATTACAACCAATTATAAATTATTATAAAATGTATATCTGACAATAAATTATTTATTATAAGATGTATAACTAATTAAAATGCATAACTTATTATAAAATGCATAATTAATTAAAAATGTATGACTAATTAAAAGGAAATTGAAATGATTGAGCTATTATTTTATTAGCATTTTGTTGAGATTATATAGTATATGGAGTAATATTTATGCACTGATAACTAATCATTGATCATAAATGTAATATCAGTATGGTTATTTATGCTCTTTGAATAATTATGATTAAACTTCTACAGTACTGTAATACATCACCTGGATGATATTAGATTAGCTATTATGACCTTAATTTGTTATGATCCATCTTTTAATAATTGTCAAGTGGTGTACGGTAGAATTTCAAAGCTTAACTTTATCAGAAAAGTTTTCCTAGCTATATTATTGAAAGAGTTGTTATTATTGCAACGTACATTCTGATTGCATCATTACATAATCAGTAGATGTTTATCATTCACTTTGAATAACTACTAATGAATTATTTTATTATTAATTAAACTAATTAGCAATATGCTAAATATCAATTTCTATTTCAAAGATATTAAAAATTCTTGTAATATATTTAATCCAGAAAATATTTTAAAGAAAAAATATTTTATAAAATTAGTTTAAATTACGTTTTGGAAAAAAATTTGAAAAGAAATTTTTAAGTCTTGTCATATCTTAAGTCTTATTATATAAAAATTAAAAGTAATGTCATATCACTGACGTGCAAATCAAAAGTAACGCCTTGTACTGGTGTAAAAAAATTAAAAGCAACGTGTTATTGACGTAAAAAATCAAAAGCAACGTGTTATTGACGTAAAAATTATGTCATTGAATTTTAAAAAATGAAAGAAAAAAAAAGAATTTTATATTATACCATTAATGCATTCCTTTTTTACTTTTGGTCGACTTTCTCGATCACATAATTCAAATGCTGCATTTGTACCATTCTCATATGCGCATTTCACGTCACGTCTTTGCATGGATGTAGAATGTCGAATACAGCGAGAAGATGAACACTTAAAATTAATGGATTAATTAATTGGAATTAAAAAATTAAAAATGCTATTTATGAAATGACTTGGAAAATGATTACAGGTTACTGTAACAAAAAAACAAAATTACTTTTTATCACAAAGAAAAAAAACTTATGATTGATAATTAAGAGTAAGCATTGTTTTAGGTCAAACTATTAGCATTGTTATTAGACTCCTTGATTATAACTAATTTAATTAAGAACAAAAGATAGCAAATGAATTTCTCTTTCATTCAACTAATTATATTGTATTGAAAATATGCTTATACCTCAGACCACGGTGATGTTTGCCATCTTGGACAGTATGATGGAAGACAACTTCTTGAAGATGGTGGTCGTACAACACCAAAACTTTCACATACATCATCATCAAGATATCCGATTGAACCCTGATAACTAATACGACATTTTAATTGTCGCACCTAAAAATATCATTTGTACATTTCTAATTAATTCACACTATCATT